TAGTTCGTAACATTATACATATATTTATAATTAAATTTTATTGTTTTATTGTCCTATGAACTGTGTCCAACTGCTATCCCCGCAATTATAAGTTTAATACGTTTAATTTCGTACATTTTCGAGGGGTGATGGATAAAATAGGGATGATGACATGCCAAGACAAAATGTGTCACGTGCATGGCAATAGTGGAAATTTAGGATTTTTTTACATATTTCCTTGTAGAATTAAAAACTTAAAACTTGTATACTATTAAAATATGGATTATTAGCTACGATTTTATGCTATTCTAATTGGTATAACATAAACAAAAAGTAGTATAATAAAATTTTGAATACAATACACTAAAACCTTGTGTCATGCGCAGTAAAGGGCACCCGTGGAGAAACACTGTTAAACTAGATGAGAAATATTATTTTTACAAGGAGTTTGTGTGGTGATCGAACGTCTTGTAGATTCTAGATTACTGCTATGTTCCATTGTCTGGAGTGAGAACAATTCCCTGGAGTAACATAAGATTTTGAGTCCGAAACACAGAATTATATATACGATTTTTAGTGTTTTTCTGATTATTAAAATAGTTTAGTATATATACTTTTAAAAGTAGTTCTTTTAACTCAACTGGAACAAGAGAGATCTTCCATCAATAAGTGAACTATTCCATCAGATTGTAACCAAAGTTCACTTTGTTATTGATCCTTACAGAACTTATTTCTGTTCCTTATCTAATATCGTTGGTGAAATCATCCAAGACAATTACTTTAATTATATATTTAGGGTGTATGGTGACAAACTGTGTAACTCATATCTCTTCACTAAAATTAATTCATTCGGTGATTTTCACCATCCCTTAACTGTTTTGGTGGCATTGATTCATTTCGTCAGGAGACTTACTTAAACAATTGGGGTTTTACTTCAATATATCACAAGAGTCCCAAGCTGTGAATTTTATCATCTCTAGGTCACGACAAGGAATGTGTCTTTAACTAACTCCTGTAATTTGCCCTCAAATTGAATCTTCCTTATTTGGTAGTAAGGTTCGTTAGTTAGGGCTCACGTTTTTTATAACATTTTCGATCTGCTGCTTTCTCCATACTATACATTATAAAAAAAAATGTACTTCTTGAAAACCTTTAAATATGTATTGGGTCATGAAGAAGTTAATGTCGCTTTTTTTAAATAAAAAATCCTGAACAACTTATATATCAAAACAAAACATTTAAATGAAATATTCTCCATCTTATCGATGATGCATTTCCATCTTATAATCAAGTTATTAATGCCCTGTTTAAATACATCACTTGGCTTTGAATTAAAAACATGTCAATGTCCTCTTTAACAACTTCCACATTTGCATACGTTTTCCCATTAAGATGGTGTTGCAGCGAACGAAAAAGATGGTAATCTGATGGTGCCATATCTGGAGAATATGGTGGGTGGGAGAGAACTTGCCAATCCAACTTCATAATCTTGTGTTGCGTCAAACGTGCCACATGTAGACGTGCATTTTCATGGAGAAAAAGCACACTTTTCCAATTGAAGAGTGAAGGATATTTCTGATGAAGGGCTTCATTTAAATGTTCCAGTTGCTGACTATAGATTTCTGCATTGACAGTTCGCCGTGTATTGAGGGGTTCGAAATGAAGTACTCCTTTGCTGTCCCACCAAATGCAAAGCATCACTTTCTGTGGATGGAGTCCAGCTTTTGGAGTTGGAAGTGTTTTTTTTTATCTAGGACTGATTCATTGTTTTTGGCATTTAATATTCGCATAGAGAATCCATTTTTCATCACCAGGGACAATTCTGTCCAAAAATGGTTTGCGGGACAGACAATGCAACATTCACATGTTAGTAACGATGATCATTAGAGAGTTTGTGGGGCATCCAAACACCTTCCTTATGGAGTTTTCCCATATTCTTTAGATGTTTACGTATTGTTTCATGAGAGATAAGCAATTTCAGGGCCACTTCATGAGTATGTTGCCTTGGATTAGAATCAACAAGCATCTTCAGAGCATCAGTATCAATTCCAATATGTCGGTCCCTGCCATCACAGTTTTAAGGCTAAAGTCACTTGAACGAAATTTGCTGAACCATCATCGACACTTATGAACATTCAAAACATTTCCATAAACTTCTTTCATGATGTTAGAAAAACAAGAAGTCTTGATAAAAATGAATAAAACCCTATAACCCAAGCGCTTTCGAAAGGTGGACCTTTCTTCTTCAGGGGCAAACTTCTTTGATATTCTTTGTGGCTACAGAGACGTTGTTTCCCTTCTTGTATTCAAACAGCACTACATGCCGAATGTGTGTCTCATCGTGTGCCATCACTATAAAAGATTAGAGTATACTAAACTTTACACATTATATAGGCTACACTAACGTGACGTTTAGGTGGTGGTTTGTTTAACTATTGGGTTTTTGGGGGGTGGTTAATGAAATTGTTCTGTTACGTATCTCCTTGTTTCTTTGTTTTTGGTAGAAATTCTTTCTGAGGATCTTCAGCGATACAAGTCCTTTCTTGATTAAACCAGTTTATTCTTCTTTGATACAAACTTAAGTACAATAAGTACATTTCTTGTCACTTAAACTTAACAGCTTCTATAATACACGCTATAAATCACAGCAATTCACAATGACGATAACTTCACTCTCAACGAGTGCAAAACACACACTTTAAGGCTCACTAGCTTGAAACTAACAGAATCATAAATTACACGGAACTAAAAGTAACTACTGCTCTCTCTTCATTCATCTATCCTGGCTTTCTCTGCCAGGCTTATATACTGTTACGTATCTGCTGGTTTGTTAATTTCCTGTAGAAATTCTTTCCGAGAAACTTCAGCGATACAAGTCCTTTCTTAATTAAAACTAATTTATTCTTTCTTAACACAACTTTGCAATACACAGAATTGCCACAGTCACTTTAAACTTGACTACTTTCATGAACACATGCTATAGTTCACAACGATTCGTGCACTTTACTTATGGTCACTACCGTTCGCTTGACTCAATTATCTGTCTATCTGCAATTCTTCTCTCCGTTTTATTTGCCAGGCTTGTATACTAAAATAGACGGCGCCTAGAAAAGACTAGAGGAACAGTCATGATCCTTCTAGAAACTCCAGCGTGCATGCTTCCAGAATCACGTGACTTCTTCTGTTGTAACAATAGTAACGAAGAGGGCATCTCGAACCCATTCAGACTTCCCCGATCATTCGAGAAACTCATCACGCATGACACCAGCGCCAATGAGCCACGTGACTTCCGCTGTCGTAACAGTTCCAAAACACGACATTAATTTCTTGAAGATCTAATATATACTTAGTATTTGTATTCCACAAATACTTCTGTAATGTAGGAAATTGTATAGAGACAAGTTATAAGAATGACTCTTGATGTAAGTCATTTATATATGTCTTCTGGAGCAGGTCCCCTGGTAAATCAGTAGTAAGTTTGCGGCTTAACAACTCTAAGATACAGGGTTCGATTCTCCACAGTGGACACAGTGTATAGATTATTGTGGTATTGCTAAAACAACCAATCAAAGAACTAACCTCTGGAGCAGAAAATAATTCTCCTTCTGTTTTAGCCTTGTTATCAAGCTGACGATTAAATTTAGCTTTAAAACTAATTATTTTTAAACTCGTGACAGGGTCCAAAAGTACGTTAACTTCCCCTCATTTCTAAGTATTGTTATGTGTATCATAGACGAAACAGCACTCAAAAGAACCACCACAGTCAAACATATAGTAATGAGAAAAGTTTTAATTATAATTTAAAATACATAACAATAAAAATGAATTGATCTATAATACATTACACTAGTGAAATGAAAGAAAAACCCCTTTTTAAATATGTATATATATATATGCTAATTTAAAATGAAATGTTTTTACAGAGCTTATCACAATAATGATAAAAAGAAAACCTTTTTTAAAAAACTCTTAGCTTAATATATTCATTATATACATATAAACCAAAACCGAATGTCTACTGTGAAATTCAAAACTCAAGCCTTGCTTATAACAAATTTCAACTATATAAACTTTCCAAATTTTATGAATTACTAACTATATATATAAAACAAAATTAAAAATCATACCATTTGTCCTTAAAGTGTAAAAGCTAAAATTTTTATGGAAAAATGTCTGTGATAATAGCACCCACAAGTGTTGGAAATATTCTCTTTACCAGATATATTAAAAAAACACAACCTTTTGGGTGCTATTAGTATTATTGCAGACATTTTAGTTTAGAAATTATAACTTTGTGCTTTATTTTTAATTTAATTTTATGTATGTAATTAGTTAATCATAAAATTTTTACAAATTTTAATAGCTGAAATTTGTTATGTGTAATGGCTTTAGTTGTGAATTACACATTAGACAACTTTATAACTTTTTTAATCAGTAAAAAGTCCATAAGATGTATCCATATCAATCCAAGATATGTTTGCTGTAGATTTGGTTTCATCAAATTTCCTGGCAGAACGAGGTGATTTAAAAAACTTTCTTGATTGAGTCATCACTTTTTTTGGAGTCTCGTGATTTTTTCTTGTGAATTCAACCTTAGAACTTAATTCATTCTTCTCATTATCTTCACTGCTGAAGAATAAATCATTAGCAATTTTTTCTTCCATCTTTGCCTGAAAAAATGAATAATGAAATATAGTTCATATATTTTTGTACTAAATAAATACAACAGAGTCTGTTATTATAAATAGCTTATTTGTCAGTTTTTGGAATTATTTATATTTAAAAAAATTCCTTTTCACAACAATATCTTTTTTTGTACAAGTATAATCCTCTGCGCAGGAACAAGTTTAAGTTGATTATAAAGTTAGCCAACTATATGAGGCTTCAATGTGAACTTAGCTTAAACTGTTTTTGTTTTTTTAAATTTTGGCTAGGTATTGTTTTTAAACAGATAAATTTGTTTGGATGACCACAGAGAACCTAGATTGTTATTAGTATCTTATATATACAATTCACAGCTCTTCCTAATAATTAAGTGCTCATGTTATCTGGTTTCTTATTTTGTGATTTAGGTAAATAAACATTGTTGTGTACTTTAATGAAATATGGTGAGTACAACACAGCTCATTGTCTTAATTAGCTACATGCTTATTATGAAGCAATTAATAATAACCTTCATATTATATTATTGTTGGAAATGCAGCATTATACCTTTGTATCTAAGCCATCAGTATATCAATGTTAACTGTGAAGTGAAAATATGTATCACTTAGACCCCACCATACATTTTTAAGCTGTTAAACTTCAACAATGATCTGACTCAATCAACAAGAACCATACAGGATTAATTCTATACCATTTCCATTGTTAACAAAAATATAAAAACTAGTTATTTCACAAAATATTGTTTTATTTTTGGCACTAATATTCTTCAGATACATAAATAAATACAATCCCATGTCACACACACACATACACAATGGACTATCTAACTGTCAACTATCCTTATTAACATTTTTACATAATTGTAACATAGATTAAAGTTGTGAAGTCAAGTTTCAAGCTTAAAATTAAGCATGTGAGGTAAATTTCTCTCTTTATTAGGGCTTTTATCAAAAATGGAGAAAAACTTTAAGAATGATGTTGCACAGGCTTGAAAACACAAGCAACTCATAAACAAAAGTCACTTAGGATGGTTTACAATGAGAACAGATGAACATACATCTTAAAATCTCAGAAAACAAAATATGAAAGAGTAATAGCATTTTTTTTTAAAATCGAGATGCTATTAATTGAAAAAAAATATTGTAATGGTTAATCATTTCTAATTTAGCTGATATATAACATGTAATAAAACTCATCGTGCCAAACTACCTTATGTGTAGTCAATAGTTTAGTATATCAGCAATCAAGAAATGGCATGTAATATGTATATAAACCATGACATACTTTTCTATTATAGTTTTATAGATTAAAGAAGTTTTGTTCTACCCAAGAAAGTTTGGAATATTTACATTCTCAGATTTCAGACTGACTAATAATAACACTATTTTTAACACTAAATAGTGTATTCAGAGGTTAACATAATGTTAGACTGAAATTAAACAGATAAGTTTATTGATTAATAACTTACAACCTACACCCCACATTTTGAGAGAAATATTCTATCAATTAGTTTATAATAAAACAAACAACTAAACCTTTTTATTTGTTGCTTTAGATTTCCATGAATAAGTCTTTTGTTTTCCAGGACTATTTGGTACATCTCTCTTGTAAGGAGCAATTCGTACGGCTACAGACTTTCGCTTTTCAGCTTGTGCTAACTTTGAAAACTGAGAAGCACTACTGGTTGTTTCTTTCTGAGAAAAGGTAACCTTTAAAGAAAACGATTTCATTTTTACAGTGTATGTGTATATATAAATTTTTAAGATGTTTGCAAATAAGATTTAATAAGTTCCAAGTGAGTACTTTTTTAATGTGTAAGGAACCTGAAATTTGTTCTTAAGTTACAATCTACATATCTTAAGTCACTGCAGAGAAAGTATTTTGAAGATCATCATATACATTTAGATGTTCTTATATTGGTGAAACAGGTAAAAATATAATCAGATTAAATATGTATAACTTTCAGTAACATAAAAAACATATGAAAAGTAAAATTCAATAATAACTTATAATTGACCAACAAAAACCTAATTATTATTTTTTGTAACCCAAACCTGTTTCTTCCTGCATAATTAGTAAGTTCATGAGGTACAAAGCACTTTGTTTAACTATATTTGTATTAACTTAACATAAAAACCTGATATTTTTTACATTTACAGTTTTTCATCTTATATGTTGTTGTAGCTTAAAAGATTATTATTTCACTTAGGATGTCACTTCATTTCACAATTTGTATTTCACATTACTAAATGCTTATAACAAATAAGCAGGTTATATATAAGTATAAGAACTATAATTAACACCCAGAAATACCTCAAATTTTAACAGTAACTTATTCTGCTATATTTCTATATAAACACTTAAAAACCTTATAAAAATATCTACCTTTACATCATCTGATTCTGAACTTTTCTTATCTGCCTCCTCTGCAAACATAACTTTTTTCTTGGTTTTTGAACTTGGAACCATGTGTTTTAGTATACTGTTAGCCTAAAATTAAATTAAATGAAAAGTGAAGTAGCTACTTGTAAACATTTGAGAGTAAATAGTTTCCTAGATTTCAGGTTATTTAAGAAATTCTAAAAGAGTAAAAAAGTTATTAATCAGGCTTGTACTTGAAATTTTATTGTTGATGGTTATGAAAGTGAATGTGTATTTTCTAACTTGATGTGAACCATCAAAAGGTAAACACAAGAAAAGAACAAACTTACAAAATGATAGCATCAAACAAAAACTATAGTTTTAACATTTATATCTGTCAAACTTTACAGTATTATGTACTTTAAGTCTTCAAAATGTTGATATATAGTTTTTAAACCATTTTACCTCTACATAATCCGATTCTGAACTACTGTTATTTGCCTCTTCTTTAGCATGTATTTCTTTTTTGGGTTTCATTCCATAAGAATTCTGTTTTAGAATGGTGTTAAGCTATTTCAAAAGTGGTTAAAGTACAAGTTACAAAAACATCAAGTTAAGGTAATCAAACAGATAAAATAAAACCAAGTTTAGTGGATAACATGATGATTTCTACTTGTTTCATAACTTGTATCATGGAGAAATGAAAATATCAAATGTTTTTTATTGTTTGTTTCAGGATCCTATATAACTGTAATGTTAGAATAAAGTATTCTAAATGTGTTATGTGAACGTTTTTGGTCATTTATGAATAAACCTAGATCTTGGTTACTCCATCTTCACAAAAATAAGAGAATCATGAATCTAATATACAAAAGGAAAAGTGTAGTGATTTGTTACAAGTAACATGAGAGAGACAAGATACAGCATTGAAGTCAAGATAAAATTAAAACAAAAACACTGTCTTTAATCAAATTGTATGGTGACTGATCATCTTGCAGGTGGTAGTATGACAATCTAGTGTACGATAATGAAGGTTTCCCAACACCCGTTTTAACAGTTCAATCACGCAGAAATCTACAGATGTCTGCATCCAGTGATTTGACCAATATGTATTCTTATTGAAGAAATAAATATTCATTTCATTCTCCAGCTGCTTAAGGCATATGATGGTTGAGTGGATTTGTCATAGAAACAACCTGTGTACATGCAACTAAAGACGTTTTTGATTATGTTGTGCACTGTTGCTTGGGACATGTGGACAGCTCTTACCAATGACCTCTTTTTGTTCAGGAATTCTCACCTGTTACATTATGTCCCACTTTACTTACCATGGCTGGGGGTATGACCTGTTGCAGAATCTGAACACATCTTTATTATATAAGTGTATGAATATTTTGTGTCAAAATATGACTGATAACATAATCTTTCTAAAAGCAATCAATTTTTGATGGCATCACACTTCCTACAAATGTAGTTCTGACATATTCTGTTTCACTGTAACATTATATCAGCTGTGATTGTCATGTGAATTGCTGATTTGCTTATTTAATTTTGTTTTAATATAATGTAATCACCTTTCTATGAAATATACGAATAGATCACAGGTGGATTTAGCTTTAGTGTCTTATATTATGCCTGAAAATCATATACATTTTGGCTATCATTTCTGAGGAATTATGAAATGTATTACTGAAATACAGTACCTTTTTTGTTGATGAGACAACACTTAAGATTGGTGTTTGTAAACCACTAGGTATTATATCTGTGATTAGTTCAAGCTCAGGTGTTTTTTCTCTTACTCCTTTATGCTGCCCAAAATTAAACCAATCATATGTAATGAGTGACTGAAACTTTACTTTTTTAACATAAGTAATTTATTAACTCTTGGAGTACATTATATTCACTTATAAATCTTTTTGTTATAGAACCAAGTGGCATTAAAATTATCCAAATTTTTTTAGTAAATGAAGACTTATACCTCAAACTCAAACATACTTTATAGTCACTATGAGAAAAACCTATACACTGTATAGGTGAAGTGATGAAAAAGTGTCTCAGTTTTTCACTTTATATAGCTGCACAATAGTAGGTATAGTAAATAAACTTGGTATTCCGAAAATTGTTTAATCTTGAAGTCGAAGTTCAAGGAAGGTCCAATTCAATCTGCATATGTTTGATATTTTTCACTATGATATAGGTCCAACTTATCTCTCTTTGGTTAACTTGTGTTTAGGGTTACTGATGAGGAGTGGAATTCTCTGAAACTAGTATAACCCAATAACACATGTTGATCAATGTGTAGATTGAACTGGCCCACCCTTGAACTTAGACCTCGAGATTAAACAATGTTTGTAATACTAAGTTTATTTATTAAGACTTATACCTGTTAGAATAAAGAAGTTATTTGTATACTGAAAAATATAAATTCTAAAAGATATAACATTTCTTGCTTGTAAAAAATACTATATGCCAAGAAGATTTTTACTCAAACGCCTTATCATTATTCATCAATGTAACACAGAAATACATAAAAAAGTACTTTTCTTTGTTACTTATACATATCTACATGCCTAATGTGGCTGACAATCATAACTGGGAGAAGAGAAAATCGTAATCATATTTGGAATTATATGAACAGTAGTACTTGAAACTTGTAATTAGTTAATTAATTCCAAGAAGCTTAGATTGAGCAAAATCTATACAAGACAATAAATACATATATTAAAAAAGAATCTCATTACACAGGTTTATGTAATTATCTTTGTTGTGTAGTTTGATGACATTTTTGAAATTTGTTTGTTCAAAAGTTAATTACAGAAAATATAAATAACAATATAACATTATATTTAATAGCAAAAAGTGGAAAATAGACATTCACTAAATAAGTAAAATTAACAGAAAAAGAAGAAAAAAACCTTAGTTTTTAGTGCAAAGACTTATTTTTTTCCTTCATTTTCTGTTCATTCTGCTTAGTTTAGTGAATGACCATTTCTGACTTATTACTTTTAAATAAGAATATTCTTTTATCTTTATTACGTATTTTGCTTGTACATATATTTTTTGTAAACGTTTCATGTTGAGTCAGTTTTGAGAATTCTAAGTTATACTTTTATAAATTCATAAAATGTTAAAGAGACAAAAAGGAGTTTATTAGCCATTCAAGGATATCCTTTCCAGCTCCCAACTATAACTACCCCTTACTACTCATGTATTCATCCAGTCTTTTCTTGAACTCAATGTAGGAGTCATCTGCAGTTTAGACATATTACTTTTCAAATAGGGTAAGTGGCTTTTGGAATGAGCTGCCTTCAAGGGTGGTGGAGGCAGAAAATTTAAAAGTGTATAAGATTATTAAGGGTATTGATAATATAGATCTATCAAACTTTTTTGTGTTTAGCAGTGAAAACAATAGGACAAGAGGTCATAAGTTCAAATTTTGGCAGCCAATCAAATCCCCTCTAACACTTCTCCTCTCCAGAGAAAACAATTTTAGAGATTTTAGTCTCTCCTTATAGGACAATCCCACCATCCCAGGTATAATCATAGTGGCTCTTCTCTGAACCTCCTCGAACAATTCAATGTCCTTTTTGAGGAAGGAAGTTCAAAACTGTACACAGAACTCTAATGAGGCTTTACAAATGATCTTTACAATGAAACAATAATATCTCTTGTCTTGTATGCAATATTTCTATAGATGCTACCCAAAATCCTATTACCCATATTGCTGGTGATAATACACTGTTTAGATGACTTAAGTGATTTTTCGATCACAACACCAAGATTGTTTTCAATCACAGTATTTAATGTATTCCCATTTAAATTGTAATGTTACGTCTCCGTTCGTTCGTTGATTTTCCGTAACTTCGTTCCCACGAAACTTTAGCGACACAAGTCCTTTCTTAATAAAACTGGTTTATTCTTTCCGAATATAACTTTACCGATACACTTATTTTCAACAGTCGCTCTATGACAAACGCTATAACAACGAACTTCAACAATACTTTCTGACTGCAGTTCAATTACTCACTACCTACACACATTATCACGTCACGTTGTGAGCGTCTTATATATATACCAGACAAACATATATCTAGTAAATGCTAGGGCATTCACGAAGGAACAAGATATTTCTAGAAAATAGGTGGCGTGACACTAGTCACGTGACCTCGCTGGCGCAACAGTAACAATAATTTGAGTTGTGAAAACCTATATCCATCACCTTACATTTTGGATAGTTAAACATCATCTGTTACGTATTGGCCCAATGCATCAAATGATCTAAATCTCCCTGTAAGTTTGCAACATCTTTGAAAAAGTTAGCCACCACAAAAATCTTGATGTCATCTGTGAACTTCAAAATTTTGCAATGAATCTTTAATCACACTCTTCAAAACCTTTCTAACTACTGATGTAAGACTAACTGGCCTATAATTGCCTGGACAATGTTTATCACCTCCTTTAAATATTGGACTAACATTAGCCAACTTCCAATCTTCTAATACTCTTACACTACTCAATGACCTGTAAAAAATATTAGCTAGTGGTTCACAAATAAAATATTTAAGTTTCTTTAAAATTCTAGAATAAAAGTTGTCTGGTCCATAGGACTTATCGATTTTGAGGTTTCCCAACTTTTGTCTTACAATTTCAGAACTTAAAATGCTATCTTTTACATCAGTATTTTCCCCATACATTAAGTGCTCTGGTTGAGGCATAACATTTGTATCTTCTTTCATAAAAACTGAAGAGAACATATAATTTAATAAGTTTACCATCTCGTAATCTTCCGAGATCAGCCTTCCACTATCATTTTTAAGAGGCCCAATCCACATCCTGGCATTTTGCTTACCCATCATATACGTAAAGAATTCTTTATTGTTTGATTTAACTCTTCCAGCCAACCCTCTTTCATATACAGTTTTTGCCCTTTTAACTTCCTTTGTAACCAGCTATCTTGATTGCCTATAGTTCTCCAAGTCCTTATTATTTCCAATAAATTTAAATTTCTTGAATTTATTATGTTTATCCCTAATATGATTTCTTAAACCCTTATAAAACCATACTGGCTTATTCCGCTTCGTTGCCCTTTTATTTATGTATGTATATCAAATTTTCTCTAAATGCTTCCCACATCTGTTCAAGATACCCTCCCAACTACTTAGTCCAATGTACACAGAACACATAACGATATAAAGAAACAGAGAATAGAACGGAAGATAAATTAATAACTGTCAAGTGAAAGTTTAAATGTATACTCAAATCAATTAATTAAAAAGTTCCTTTCTTCAAATTGAATGTTACGTTGGTCAACGATGAAACCCAATAAAGCAATGAAACCAGTACGTCTAATCTTTCTATAAAGATGATCCATTATGTTTACGTTAGTATCCATCATCCGGAATTGGCTCACTAGGTTACCGTAATGTTTTGTATGATAACTGGAAACTGCCGACAGTGTACATGGGCTTCTTTGTTTTAAAATTTTTGCCCCAAAATGGAGTATGAAAATATCCGGAAATAGGACAAATCTCCACTTTTTTATAGACTTTGGCTTTGAATTTAAAGACACAAGTACTTAATCAGTTAAATGATTCAATTATTACCTTCCATAAAACAAAGTACGCAGTTATTATCTAATGAAGTCATCAGGGATTTAATAACATAAGAAGGGAACATTACCTAACATTGTTCTTTATACAGTTTCCACTTCCTCGATGGGCACCCTCAGATAGTATTAGTAGTAAAAATCATGCTATGCAGCAAATGTTATTCTTTTCTTTTGTGTTCCACATTACGATTTCAAATTAGGTGTGTCGAAATGCAGTTTAAACTGCTCCCAAGTGTGATTTTTATCAGTAATATTAGGTTTATCTGCTTTTGACTTATGTTTCTTATGCATGTAGAATAGCATTATATTTTTACATTTTTGGTATTAATGTTTAGTTTTCTGCCACAATGTCTAGCCCACTCCCTAGTTCTGATATTGACAAAAATTCTCCAGAATATTGACATGTGACAGACAAAAAATAGATTCAAAATGCTATATTTTTACACTTCTCTGATTTGAAATCCATAGTGGACTAAGATAAATGTAGGGAAAAATACACATTCTCATCTTAGCATGATTTTTTATCACTAATTTTCTGCCTGATAGGCTAAGGGGAAGATACTTAGCCAACAGCAACCAGCACGTGAGTGCGTTTTTGCGGCAACGTGGCGCGAACCTTTAACCCTAGGAGTCATACCCTGAACAAGTTAATCACTAGGCTATGCCCTACTCCATTATTGATAGACATTCTGGTGTGAAACTAAGTTCGCCTATTGCATAAAAATAATTATAACAAATAAATTATGTTAATTAATTTAAACACTTTATACCTTATATGTCAGTCATCAACGATCGAAGTGTTTTCATTGCGATGTGTAAAAGAACAAATTCTGAATTAGAGCGAGCGGCAATAATTCTATTGTATTTGAGGACGAGAAACCCACTTTCTTTAGAAAATAAAGTTTGGAAACGGCTGGAATGGATAGTGAAAGAAACTTTATTACAAATGTACAATGTTTCAATAAACTTTATCATCATCAAGTAAAAGTAGTTAAGACAAAAATGGGGAATATATAAACAGTATGGAACAAAGAGGTACATGACCGGAAATTGCTCAACAGCTTAGTAAAGTTTTCCACGTTATAATGCCAAGGGTCAATGAAATTGAAAAGAAACCGTGGAGTAGTCGAGTGGCAGTTTGACTCCAACAAATTTCCTTGGTGCTCATGCGATCCAGGACCTTTCTATTTAAAAACCCTAAGAGAACCAACCATTCATGCCTGGTGCAGGACTAAATCAACAACAGTCAGAGAAAAGAAACACCACAGACCTGGAGGTACGTTGCTTTTGTCGAAGCAATGACCAGAAAGAAACCAAAACATGGACGAAATTTGGGCTAATCTCTTGGAAGAACATAAGTTAAAAAACCCAAAGATGTATATGCAAAGATCCTGAGTGATAAAGACGTGTAGAAAGTTTCATGCGCTGAAAACAAGGGTTCCTGTTCAGCAAGTAAGGTCAAATCGGCCACTGGCATACATACAAAACAAATAAAGAAAAACGAAAAATACTACCACATCTTTAACTCCGACTGCTGCTGTGCCTACTCTACAACCATTGATTTCTACAATCTCATCACTCTTAGCCAAAGCCCCCACCCACCATCTTGACGAAGAAGTTTGACTTTTATGCACTGATGTGCTAGAGGCGTCACTGACAAGCTAAAACCTAGATATGAGTGCCATCTGGAAGTTCACACTCTGGGAAGAGGGCTGTCAAAGGAAGAGAAAGCTGGAACTTTAACTTTGACGTTTGTTTAAATAGGTTGATCAGCTTAACATCATTGCTTTCTTTACTTTTATTTTCCTCGACTTAAACCAGCTTAGCAGCCATACTTCTCATTCCTGCTCTGATCACTAGCATTTTCAGTTCAGATACTTCATCTTATATTTTTTGTACTTTGCAACAGACACAAAAATTCCACACATCTTGAACTCAAACTGCTGCTACACCTGCTCTGCAACAGTCGGTTTCCTCGCCCTTAGCCACAAAAAAATGGAACCGAAGAACTGTTCACAGAATCCTCAACCACTATTTAAAAGAAGTTCGACTAGCAGGCGCTGATAAGCTAAGACCTAATTATGGACGTCCATCTACGAGTTCACCTTATGTGAAGAAGGCTGTCAAAGGGAGAGTCGGGGTCCAGGGCAGAACTTCAACATTATAAAAAGGATTTTTACGGAATATCGAAACAAGCTAGCCAAAGTTACTAACTCTCCAGAAGTTGAAGAAAAAACTTAAAAGATCAACAGTTGCCCTGGTCAACCTGCTGGCAACGTCCTATTGATTTTGTGGGAATTCCTGTCTGTATATATGTGTGTGTGTGTATATATATATATATATATATATGTATACACACACACACACATACTCTTTTTTACTGTGGTTTTAAAATGCTTTATCTCATCTGTACTTTATTTTTAGTGTTTATGTCACTTAATTTAGTGTTTTCTTTTGTGTATATTTTAAATAAAATTTGAACATCACTTAAAATAGGGTTTCAGTTTTGTTTCAATACTTGTTTCATACTTAAAATGTTTTTTTATTTTATGATCTGTGCTGCATATTACAATGGTGTAGACAGGAGTTAATCTTCTATTACTTTTTAGTTCTTTTGATATAATTTTCACAAGTGGTGATGTTGTAACACCAGTTCAGTATGCTTATTTTATTCAGTGATTTCGTTTACTTTTTTTCCTAATTCACATGATCAATATTTAAATGTTTAAATTATTGTTTATTATTTGTTACATATTTAACTAGCTGGATATGTAAGGTACTTTGCAGTTAAAGTATTTTTAGTCCCATAAGACAAAGTGCAATCCAATAAAACTTTTATGAGAATTTTCTATACATCATTTATGATTAATAAAAGCCATAAGTTTATACACAGACAGAAGTTAAAAAGAAAACGAATAAATGTAACTTGGTCACAACTAGTTAAGTTTTACTTGACATGAAACATTGGAAATATGATAGAAATATTGAGGATTTCTTTAGTAGAAATGTCATGCCCTGTCAGCTAAGACATCCTACACTCTAGGGCTTATCAAAGATTCTGGTACACTTGGGTTCCGAGGGATATTTTCAGTAGAATGTATTTAACAACTTTATAAGATCTTGATTCTAACCACATAACTTATAAAAAAAATTTCAAATGGTCAAATTGCAATAACAAGTGCATGAAATAAAAAAAGGATTTGTTTCTGCATTTATGTAAGTTTTAAGATTCTGTAATTCTTTATCCATTAAAAAAAAGATATAACTTATGAAAACAGCAGAATGCAATAAAATGCACAAGTAAAAGTGTAATACAACTAACATATTAATTACAAAAAAGACAAACAAATTTTAGAACTTTTTTATTGAAAAATTCTTTAAGAAATCAGTGAAGCATACATTGTTTCAGAAAACCTATTTACAGCCATACTTAGTGAATGAAATAGATATCATATTACTCTTTCATTTGTCATAACCTAAACATTTTGTTGCTATAGTAAATCTAACAATCAACAAATTCCTGATCTGTTATGCAAATATCTTTTCTTCTCTTCGTTTCTTAGTAACCACTGTCCCAGGTTTGTGTTGGGCATCAGGATGGTTTGCTAGTTCAGGTGGGCAGTTAGAAACAGGGCTGGACAAGATTAGTTGTTTCAAATCATAGAACAGGTTACTATCCTCTTTTGTCAAAAATGAGATGGCCACACCAGTTTTACCTGCTCTACCTGTTCGACCAATACGATGGGTGTAATCTAATGAGGAACAAAAAAACAAAATTATTTTTAAAAACGTCTCTCAAAAAGTTTAGCAGCCTTACATAACAATGTCATCAGTTCTTCCCAATCATTATGGCTGGGATGAGCAGCTTATGGGCTGCAGCGTATCTGTGATATCCAGCAGCATGTAAACTGATGTAAGTTAAATCTCAAGGAATATTTAGAAGAAACTTTATTGTCACATAATTAAATCCCATGGACCGTTTGGAATAAATCTTAGTGTTATATATGATAACTAAATCTCAAGGAATGTTTAGAAGAAACCTTGAAATGATACATTTTACTATAAAGATGATCTATTATGTGTATGTCTGATTACTGAAATTTTTGGTATGGTAACTGGAAACTGTCTGATGGTGTACAATGACTATTTGTTTTAAAGACTTTTGCCAGGGAAGGAGGATAAAAGAGACTCTGTAATAGGGCATATTTTCACTTTCTTATATACTGTTCAGTTATTACTTACATTACCTAATCAGTTAAATTAGTCAATTATTATCATCCACAAAACAGGGTATGCAATTAGCATCTAATGAGGTCATTAGGAATTTAGTACCAAAAGAAAGAATGAAGGGGAACATTATCTAACATTGTACTTTATACAATTTTTATTTCCTAAATGGGTACCCTCAACTAGTAATAACTAAATTTCATGGAATCTTTAGAAACTTTGATGTCACACATGATTACAAAGCTATAGATGAGCATCAAGCATCTGAAATATCAAACTGTTTCTGGCAATGGATTTCATGAAAAGTAATCCTAAGCATGTTTGAAAGTTTTCACATATTTACTACTAAGAAATTATTATTTTAGGTAGACTGATACTTTATACTAAACCACTAAAAAACAGTATATACAGTACCATGCTGTGCACATGTACCTTACCATTTTCCATAAACTGTTATAGGCTTTTTTCAACTTGGAGTAACAATTCTATTCCTTGAGGTAGAGATGGCATTCTGAAATGTTTACTTGTAGTTTGGGGGGAGGAGGAGGGGATTGGGGTTGGTGAAGTGTTACAAAATGTGTAACTTTCTTTCAACTTGGAGTAACAATTCTATTCCTTGAGGTAGAGATGGCATTCTGAAATGTTTACTTGTAGTTTGGGGGGAGGAGGAGGGGATTGGGGTTGGTGAAGTGTTACAAACTGTGTTATAAGTAAAATCACTTTCATGTGTGAGTACAAGTGAGGTGAACTGAAGTAATAGAAGTAAATCATCTACGATTTATTTTTTGCTTTATATGGTTTTTTTTATGAGCAAACTAGAGCAATACACACTGAATCAGACAGTGGGAATGATAAAGAGCAAGATTTGAACAACAGTGACTCTACAAATCTGTCAATCACTTAGTGATACTGATGAACAACTTGAACTAAGACGAGCAGGAGACTAGAAGTTTGTTATAGATCCTTAGTTAGATTCCAATTTTCTAGCATTTGGTTTTACAACAGTTTGTTATACACCTAAATGTGGAACTGGAAAATTTTTCATAATCACTGGAACTCACTTAAATTCTTTTTTCAACCTGTGTGCTAGTCCCCCAAAAAGTTATTGACTATTTACCAGTAAACCAAATGAAAAGGGGAAGATATCTGGATTGAAATGGCATAACAGGTTACTTAACATTACCAATAAACCAAATGAAAAGGGGAAGATATCTGGATTGAAATGGCATAACAGGTTACTTAACATTACCAATAAACCAAATGAAAAGGGGAAGATATCTGGATTGAAATGGCATAACAGGTTACTTAACATTACCAATAAACCAAATGAAAAGGGGAAGATATCTGGATTGAAATGGCATAACAGGTTACCTAACATTACCAATAAACCAAATGAAAAGGGGGAGATTGTTTGTTTGTTTGTTTTGAATTTCGCGCAAAGCTACACGAGGGCTATCTGCACTTGCCGTCCCTAATTTAGCAGTGTAAGACTAGAGGGAAGGCAGCTAGTCACCACCACCCACCACCAACTCTTGGTACTCTTTTACCAACGAATAGTGGGATTGACCATCACATTATAATGCCCCCACGACTGAAAGGGTGAGCATGTTTGGTGGGACAGGTATTCGAACCCAAGACACCTCAGATTACGAGTCGAGCACCTTAACCACTTGGCCATACCGGACCGAAAGGGGGATATATTTGAACTGAAATGGTATGACAACTTTACCTGTAAACCAAAAAAAAGTATTTGGATTGCAATGATATAATGTTACCTGACGTTATGTACATTTTTCTACTCTTGTATTTTTGACTGGGAAAGGACAGCTGTTATTCATAGCTAGCTGTATAATGGGCACAAAATATTATGATGCAAGATCCTCGTGTCTGCTGTAAAGAAGTAATGCACAGGACCCCTTATCTGAGCATTGATATTTTTGCACTTATATGAACCAAAAAAAAAAAAGAGCAAGAAAGCCATCTATGAATACATGTTGTGCTGCCATTTACAAAAAGAAATCTCTTGATGTTTAGTTTCTGTTTATAAACTAAAAAAAAATTAATCTGTGTCTGTTTTTCTTCTAATATAAGACTGCCAAACATGAGTGCACTGGAACACAGGACTAAAGAGGTTAATGGCAATTTGATATGTCATTGATTTTATGCTTTATCATCCAATTGTTTGTATTTTGTAGAGATTTCAGGAATAAAATGACCATATAAAAGTTTTCATAAATCTGGTACACAGTATCAGTTTCATTTTTACATCTGGAGCTGAACTTGTTATTGTATCCACTTCTTTAGCACGTTACCCTACTAGGTTTATGTAAAGAGCAGATGGATTGAAATGTCTTGTAGGTTCCTACCACTAAATATTTCATTCAATAACCACTATTGTTTGAAAGCCCAAGAGATTCTTATGGTAGCTACTGATCTTTATAAACAGTGTAACATGGTAATCACCTGCTAACTTTAGAGGAGGTAGACCAATTACTAGATGGAGGTGTGCAGTTCCAGTATTGGGTGACACTGTGTACTTCTTAAACAATTTCATAATATTGAATATTTTATTTAGTTAATTTCCAACACGTTGTCTTGCATCATACAAAAGCTAGTAAGAAAGTTCAGTACAAATATAATTATTTGTATCTTATTAACATTAACATTTCTTTCCCATTTTGAATATTTTATATCACTTCAGCACCAGTCATGCATTGATATTTATCATCAATTAAAACTAATGAAGCTGTCACAAAATGCAAATAAAGATATGTACATTTTTACCTTGAACTGCAAGAAAGAAACCGAATGGTCAAAAAAAGGTAGGAGTACATTATTTATTAAGTTATACCATTGTGAAACTGCATGTAGGCTAACAAGAAGTAATATTATGATAGTTTACAGGTATACTGGATATGCTGTTTTGGAAATTTGTTTATCTTATATATGCATGTACGTGTGGGTGTGCATTTGTTTGTTTTTTGAATTTCGTGCAAAGCTACATGAGGTCTATCTGCATTAGCCATCCCTAATTTAGCAGTGTAAGACTAGAGGGAAGGCAGCTAGTCATCACCACCCAACGCCAACTCTTGGGCTACTCTTTTACCAACGAATAGTGGGATTGACCATCACATTAAAACACCCCCATGGCTGAAAGGGCGAGCATGTTTGGTGTGACGGGGATTCGAACCCGCAATCCTCAGATTGTGAGTCGAGTGCCCTAACCACCTGGCCATGTGTGCATTTATAAATATAAAGTTCAAGAGTAACATATTTCTGTGCTTATAATTGACACTGGAATAGTAAATTGAACAATGCATTTTTCTGGGTTTAAAACTATGTTCTGTTCCCACTGTTTTTAAAAAAGGCTTTAATAAGAGGCTAGTAATTTAATTCATTATAAAAAAAACTTTAAAAGAAAATAAATAAATGAATAAAATATTATATTTTGATTCTAAAATAATTTTAAAATATATATACAGTCATAGTTCAAAACTCACAAGAATACCAAGTATTTTGAGCAAGCTTACTAATCCTCTATATGTCTATATCAATTAATTTAATTTGGTTTAATGAAAAATGGTAATAGCATATTTCCATATGATTAAGGCAACTAATGTGCAAACAACATATACACACAGAAAAAAGGTTAGTAGATAAAGTCTTACCTTCAATAGTCTTAGCCATATCATAGTTTATAACCAGAGAAACATTACGAATATCGATACCACGCCCAGCAACATCTGTAGCAACCAACATATCCTTAGCTCCACTTTTGAGGCTGGCAAGGGCAAATTCTCTCTGTTCCTGGCCCTTTCCACCATGCAATGTACATGCATTAAACTGGAAAAAAAATGATTGATTTAATAAAAGGTTAGTTTTTGAATTCTGCACAAAGCTAAATGAGGGCTATCTAGCTAATTTAGTAGTGATAGACTAAAGGTAAGGAGCTAGTGAACATCACCCACTGCCAACTCTTTTACCAATGAATAGTGGGATTGACCATCACATTATAACACCCCATGGCTGAAAGGGTGAGCATGTTTGGTGATGGGGATTTGAGCCCACGACCCTCAGATTGCCAATCAACCATCTTAACCAATAGGCCATGCAAGGCCTTTAATAAAGTGACACACTACCTAGCACATTTTATGTAATGTAAAGTTACGAGATTTAAAAAAATAAAAGTTTAATTAAAGTTATAAAAAAGAGATTTAAAAAAATAAGTTTAATTAAAGTTATAAAAAAACATTAATTACCACTAAAATAATTTCACTTTAATGTTTCTGATACTTATACTTCACATATTTAAAAGAGAAAGCCTTAGTTCTTAAATGTCATTGTAATTTTGAAGTTTTGTGGTAAAATGTACAAATATCTTATGTAAACGTAACCATTTTTATCATATAGAAAAAATATATAACGAAAGAAATATTCAAATGTTATTAATTTCAGATTTATATATTGCTTTAGTTACCTTTTTTCTTGGAAAAATGGGTAGTTGGCAGTAAGATATAACAGGTGCAATTTTGTAAGGAGAACAAGGATTTGCTATTTTTATAGAGAATATTTTGTCATATTACCGGCATCTTTATGAATGTTAATATATTATTTTATCTCCTACTCTTATTTTTTTCCAAAACCATATTTTTCTTGTGATGAATGTTGAAATGTTCCTGGTCACAACTTTTGAATTGCTACATTTTTATAACAATGGTTTTCTGCCAGGTTACACTTTGCTAAATAAGTGAAAGTTACACAGCTATCAAACACTTGATTATGTTTGTAATTAACTTGATAACATTACAGTTGTATTCAGGAAACACATTTCTTTAATATGATGTTGTTTTTCTGATGATATCATACAACTATATGACTCTTAGCAAAAATCATGGATTTGGGGTACATCACAACCTTAGTAATTTGGAGGATAATCAGAACTATGTTAATGAATAAGTAAATACAGTAACTTACTCCCATCTTCTCCAAGCCTTTAGCCAGAACATCTGCTCCTTTCTTTTGGTTTACAAATATGATAACTGGAGGCTCCACACCTTTTCCCAAGATCTCCAAAAGCTTTTTCCTATGAAATAAAAACTGGATTAATGGTGACATAGAATCTAATATCTCTCTCAGAAACACTACAAAAAAGAACTTCAAACTAAATTGTAACTTTAATTTTTTATATCTGATTACCTACTTACAAATAAACTTTTGACCATTCTCACATCACAGCACAAGCATAATTAACTCATCCTGCTTGAGAAATTAAGCCATCAAGATACTTACATTAAAAATGATAATGATTTTGGATTATTTGAAATAACCATCTATCAGAGCTAGTTTAACCCCTCACAGCAGTTGTTCTCAACCTTTTTTCAACTTTATATTTCATTGTAAAACAATATACTTATGTAACTACATTTTAAAATGCACATTATTTCTTTTCAACCATCTTGAGAACTGGCTAAAATTTCCCCATGGACCAATGGTTGGAAAACACTGTTATAGAGGATATGCCACTGAACAAGAAAGAATATTTGTATGTTATCATGTTTAGTACATTCAAATAAATACAACACAAGAGTTGAGATGATTATAATCCTTTTAAAACTGGAAGAGTGTCTCACTAGCATTCTTGAATTTTTCTTTCTTGAAGTGAATAGTTAATCAAACTGCATGAAATTTAGTTGAACTTTACTAAGTAGCACCTAGTTACAGATGATAAACTAATATAATTTGATTTAGCTTTTCTATCATTTTTACTTTGTGGAATTACAAAGATCTTATTATGGGCATACTGGTTTGAAATAACCCAATAAAATACTTTTTTTTTTACTTTAAATTTCAATCTTTTTATTGTTAATCCAAAAGTTTCATTTTGTACATCCAACCAGTTTCAACTTTAACAGTTTCCTGATAACAGTGAGTCTGTGACCCACTGCAACATTTAGAAAATTTAGGTACGGCCTAGTGTCTTCAAAAACGTTTATAAAAGTCTTTATATTGTGGACTTTCTAATTTTGTCCTACAAAGTTTTTAGTAAGTATTTTACACATTGTTTTACTCAATCTTTAGTAACACTCCTATACACTTCCAAAACTAGTTAAATGATGACATAGCACATAATGTTATATGTCCAAAACTAGTTAAATGATGACATAGCACATAATGTTATATGTCCAAAACTAGTTAAATGATGACATAGCACATAATGTTATATGCCCAAAACTATTTAAATGATGACATAGCACATAATGTTATATGCCCAAAACTATTTAAATGATGACATAGCACATAATGTTATATGTCCAAAACTATTTAAATGATGACATAGCACATAATGTTATATGCCTTCAAACCAAAACTGACTCAAGTAAATGTATGTAATGTTCTAGTAACTTTGAGTGCTATTTAAATATTTTGTATTTTTAAATCAATTCTCCATCTTCATACATTTTGAGATATTCTGTAGAAATCATGGATTCATAGCAGGGAAGCTGTTATTTAGAAAGTTACACTTTGTTGCAATGTTTAGAAAATAGGTAAATTTTTTTATCAATAAAATTCATTGAATCTATTGTCTTTACACTTGAAATGCAGATATTGCTATTGATTGACTGCTATCATAATTTTTAGGACACAGTAACAATTAAGTTTATCAAGCAATTTATGAGATTATTTGTCAAACACACACTAGTTATATTTTATTTTTTTCAGTGAATTTTTAAACAGACACAGGTAACAATTACCAAAATGTTTGCTTTAACCCTTAAACGTTCTGATGTGCCAATTCAATGACTTTGTTGTATGGTTTGTTTTATAGCATTGCAAAAAAGAAAAAAAAACTACTTAAAACTCGAGACAAACTTCCTATAGATTATACAGTACTTGAAAATAAAGTATTTTTACATGTTGTATTTATATGAATTTTCAGCTTTGAAAGGTTGAAAAGATTTCTTCGTGAAATTATTTTAAGAAATAATAAAAAACTATGTTGTTGTAGATTTTCAATTATTGATTTTTTATCTTTTCCAACATTACTGTAAAGTTTTACAATAACATTATTTTATAAAACTGTAAACTTTGTTTTTGTATTAATTCAACCAACACTTAAGGAAGATTTGCCATGTTTACCAATCACTGCTGTACAATAAAAATAAATTATTTACCATATCAAAATTATAAACAAGCTGACTCTTAACTGTTAATCAGAAGTTTTATATGATATATTTAACAAGTTTTTGCATTTGTTTCCAATGATTTTCTCTGCTCATTTGCTTAGGCTGATAAAGTCAAATGTAAACATCGCATAAACAGTTGCTTTGTTGGTGAAATGAACTTGATATGGTTAAGTGAAAAATTATCTAACTAAGCCTAACAATTCTTAACCTGATCTTTTTCCAGAAAAAACATTTCTTTTCCTATCATAATGTGACATAATAATTCAAGTGAAATATAAAATGATATTGCAAGCTTTAAAAAATCAGGACTGTAACTGAAGCACAAGTTGTTCCCAAACATCTTTTCATCTAATAACATATTACTCTATTCTGACCCCTGTTTATACAGAGGAAAAAACAGCTTTCATTACATGTTTAAGTCACTAACCTATGATTTCTCAAAGCTGAAACGTAATAACTGATTAAAAGTACACTTGTATAGTGAAAGTAACCCAAAAATCAAAATTTGCAATTTTATAAGATCTTCATGTATAAAATTAAATAACTTTTTTGAATGAATATCAACTATAAAGTATTTAACTTTACTTTCTATGATTTTTTTAAAAACTCAATGGTGCAATTTTGCCCCAGAGCAAAGAGTGCACCCTATGGGGTGGCATAGGGTTAAGGTATAATAAGGATTACCTATTTCACATTCCCCCACAGCAAGAGAGTATCCGAAAAATAAATTAAAAAAATCCACTTAAAACAGCTTTATATGTTTGTCTGTTGTATCAAAATATTTAACCAACTACACTAAATACAAATTTTCTATTAAACTAGCTCACTAGAGTTTAAGTTTATAAATTTCAATCAAGTAATCCTAAATGAAAACATTTTTTAGACTGGAAATTTAAATGCAATATAGAATGAAAAAGGTACCTTTTCTGGGCTTCTGTCACCATATACACTATCTGTTCTGTACGCTCTGTAGGCTTGCCAGCTGATCCTATGTATACTACAGCAGGTCGTCGCAGGTAGGACCTAGCAAGCCGCTCCACAGCCGGAGGCATAGTAGCCGTAAACATAACTGTCTAAATATTAGAAATATACTGATATTAAGATGTATCTGTAACAAAAATACAATCACATTGGTACAAACATAATCTGCAAAACATAAAGTAATGTTTTGAACAACCAGATAAATAATACATAGACAGCAGAAGCATGAAATCACTGTAATATATAAATTTCAAATTAGGAAATGAAGAGAAACTACAAAAATTTAAAACATATATCACCAACCAAAAGCATAGAAATACAAATCATCATTCTGAGCTAAGTAAAAGAATTCAGATGATGATGAAATACACACACCAATGTGAGTTATCAAACATAAGATAAAAATAAAAACTGACATAAAATACACTAGTTGTGTTAGCTAATTTGGAAAATACCTCATTGTTGTCTAGAAAAACAATAGTAAATGCACTGAAAAATATGCCATTTTTGTCTAGAATAATGATAATAAATGCACTGAAAAATACCATTTTTTCTAGAATATGATAACAAAAATCCACATTTAAATGATATTTAAAATAATTGTTTTCAATATTTTAATTGTCGTCAAAAGTGCTGTCATGTGTATCAGTCAAACAAGTTATGATGATTACAAGTAAAATCATAAACTAGTTGTTTAAGAATTTTATTCCCTTTACATCTGAAGAAAAAACAAGAAAATAAAGAAACAAAATAATAACATACATTACAATACTATATTTATCATAACCAATGTCTCGTAAAATCAGAAGGTTGACCCCAAAATATTTAGTAATGAGACCAATGCAAACAATAACCAGAAGTAGTTGCATGATAGCAGTAACACACAAAGTACACAAGATGACCGTTACCAAATATTTTAGCCAGGGAACAATGGCTGAGTTCATTAAAATTTGAATCTCCTTATTCAAGATCTAAGAAAACAGCAGGTTTATTTTTTCACTTCTAGATTTTTTGTATTATTTTTTTTGGCAACTATTATTGTTCTATTTTTCTTGATATGTTTTTCAATGGATATCTTGTTTTAGTCACACCCACATCACCTGCATTTATTGCACTTAAAACATCTTTTCACTTTGCAATTGCAAGTAACAGGAGGCATAGGATCTTCTTCCAATGTTTTTATAGTGCTATGCACAGATTCACAGGAAAAAAAATTCCAGGAACAAACTGTTGCTTAGAAGGACCAAATTTACTGATTTCAGTAGAATGTAAACTCTACTAATTTGAAGTAACTAATGTTTTATTATACTTTATAAATATGCACTTGCAGCTGTCCCAAACATTCTAGAAATAATATCTGAACTATTGTAAAAACTTATTCAAGCTAAAAAAAAAAACAGAAAGACTATGAAAGAAGCCTAGGGAAGAAATTCTAAGTGACCTTGTGTTACTAAACAAAGCACAAATAATCACATCAAATTATGGAATCTACGAGCTACTCACAAGCATACTTTGTGAATAATTTTTATCATTATTACCATTATATTGTCCAATTTAAGTTTCTAATTCTTATATTTTAATTACTTTTATAACAATAAATAAAGAATACACATGAAAAACAAATATAGTGCTTACCTGTGTCTTCTTTTTTGCTATCAATCATTGATGAAATTTAAGCCTACTTTTTTATATTATTGGTACTACTGCACTAAATAATTTTTATCCAATTAAACAATACACTTAAGAACACAGAATTAGAAAATCATACATAAATTTTTGGGAGAAACATGGTTTTTATCTTCCTTATCAGCACTAATTCCAAGATGATGTTTGGCATGGATCCTCGAAAGTCTGCCCTATTTTTGCCCTCTCACAACCTGTATTGTTGCATGGTATTACAAGGATAAACTTCATTAGATCAGAGAGTTTATTAAATTTAAAAGCTGCCCAGCTCATCTTTCCATTTTTCCAATACTATACCACCACTTATCTGCTGGCTCACTGAGATCTACACCAGTCAATAGATTAGCCTGGTAGTTGAGAAATTGCTTTCGAAGACAATTCATTGTACTGGACCAAGGTGTAACCCTAGCATAGAACGGCTTGAATTTTCCAACAAAGTACTCTACTGATTCCAAAGAACAACTTTTTTCTGACAGATGTCTGCTACTTCTGCATGTTTCAAAGTTGTTTCGTGAAGTGGGAACTTGGCCTTCATATATTCCAATGCAGTTTCTTGGTAATTTCTTACATCTTCACAGAAAGACAGCTGGCTTCCTTTGTTAAGCTTTGCAAGGACAGGCTAAACTTTATAAATAACCAATTACCAAGTTCTCATTTTTTAAGCTGAAGTTTTCTGTCTTTGAAATTCAAATCAAAACTTCCTGAACAATTCAAAATTGCATGTGGTGTCACAAGTCTGCTCAAGAAATCCTTGAATAAAGCAAACAGGATTCTCTGCAAGCAATGCATGAGTGGGTTCTCAGACTGTAGTTTCAAATTATACTTACTTTGCCTTCACATGGATTTTTTGTTTTTCTTCATCCTTTTTCTTGTAATCATATTTGGCTGCAAAGTATTGCTTGATAAGTCTCTACTTCTCAACTAACCTCTGTCATTTTCCAAGAGACAGCTAGCATGTGCACACATGCTTCAGAATAGTTTGAGTTTCTACATCACATAGATTCTGGAATTCTCCAAGTTCTTGTTTCCTATTTGCACTCTTGTCCAAATAGTAATGATTGTCAACAAGAATTTCATCAAACTGATATTGCAACTTCTTTGCTGCTTTTTCTACTGCCAAACGAAGGAAGTGAGATTTCTAGGTTAAGTTTCAGAAGACCACCTGCACCTCCTTTTTTTCTCCCTATCATCACATTAATTCATTCTGAAGTTTCTCAATCTCTACATTTGTGAACAGATAAAAATGAGATAGCATCAAGTTATTGTCTTTGAATGTTTCAAATCTACTTCAATCAGTAACTACTACAGCTATAGTAAGCTAGACATCAGTATATTATTAAAAAATGTGTTTTGCTGTAAGAGTTTCCTTCTGGCCCAAATTGATGGATTAAGTTATGAAAATATTTAATTGTTTTTGCTTTGCTATACATTTATTATAATTATTTTCAGTACTTTTATTAACTGATGCATAGTATAATTTATGGATGATTTATATCATTATAAATTTCTCAATGGTTCATTTTCAGTTTGGTTTATTATTTTCCACCCAATTATAATTTTAACAAGTACAAGAATATTGTGCCCTTTTTTCAAACTAACAGTGTGCTATTTCCTGTATACAAGAACAAAATTGTGAATCAGTAAGGTTCCTTGTTAATTTTTCTCACAGTAAGGAAAGATGACAGGTTTGTTTGTTTTCGTATGTTTGCATAAAGCTACTCCAAGACTACCTAAGCAAACAATTCCTAATTTTTAGATGATAAACCAGAAGAAAAGCAGTTAGTGAACAACCACCAACAACTTCTGGAATTCTCTTGTCTAATTGAAAAGTGGGAATTCACTGTCACCCTTTAAATGGAGCCACAGTGGAATATGATTATGTTTTTGCAGTAATGGGATGAATAAGATGGACCCACAGATCCATATTCCAGTAGGCTTACCACAGGGTCATGCTAAGCCCAAAAAATGATAGGCTTTTTTCTTAAAGTTGTAACATGACAGAGAAAACACTCTTATCACTATCTCAAGATTAACTGATGAAATAATAACATTAAATAAAAATTGACAAATTATTACAATTCATATGCAGTACTGCATGTTTGCTACACAACTTTATTGAGAAATAAATACTGAAACAATATATAAATACCTGACGATACTTATTTTTGGAAGCAAAATTTGCCAGCAATTTTTCTTCATCTTCAACTTCATCACTATCTGGCTTCTGATTAGTAACTGGCATGTAGTCAAGAATTCTTTGAACATCAGGTTCAAAACCCATATCAATCATTCTATCAGCCTGGTGAAAAACAAAAGGATACTAAGTTTTGTGAGAAATTATCTTTACCCTGCT